TTTTTTTGAGATGGAGTGTTGCTTTGTTGCCCAGGCTGGAGTGCAGTGGCACCACCTTGGCTCACTGCAACCTCCGCCTCCTGGGTTCAAGTGATTTTTGTGGCTTAGCCTCCTGAGTAGCTGGGACTGCAGACGCATGCCACCATGTCCAGCTACTTTTTTGTATTTTTAGTAGAGATGGGGTTTCACCATGTTGGTCAGGCTGGTCTTGAATTCCTGACCTCAGGTCAGGCCCACCTCCACCTTTCAAAGTGCTGAGATTACAGGCGTGAGCCATCACACCTGGCCACTAACAGCATTTTGATCATAATCATTCAACAAGTTTCTAGGAAGTTTCAAACCTTCTCTGATCTTCCTGTCTTCTTCTGAGCCCTCCAAACTGTTCCAACCCCTGCTTGTTACCCAGTTCCAAAGTTGCTTCCACATTTTAAAGTATCTTTATGGTGGTATTCCACTTCTGGTACCAATTTCCTGTATTAGTGTGTTTCCACACTCCTATAAAGACACTACCTGAGACTGGGTAATTTATAAACAAAAGAGGTTTAATGGGCTCAGAGTTCTGCATGGCAGGGGCCTCAGGAAACTTTTTAAATCATGGTGGAAAGCAAAGGTGAAGCAAGGCTTGTCTTCCAGCAGTGGAGAGAGAGCGTGCAGGGGAAACTGCCACTTTTAAAATGATCAGATCTCATGAGAACTCCCTCGCTATCACAAGAACAGCCTGGGGGAAACTTCCCCCATGATCCAGTCACTTCCCTCTAGGTCCCTCCCTCCAGACGTGGGGATTACAATTCAAGAGATTTGGGTGGGGACACAGAGCCAAACCATAACAGCATCCAAGAGGAAATTTCAAGTATGCAGTTAGATATAAAAGTCTGCAGTTCGGGAGAGAGGTCTGGGCTGGAGACATAAATTTTGAAGCTGTTAGTTTATATTATAATCATGAAATCTTAACATGCCATTGTTTGTAAGATACACCATTATTTTAAGTACTGCTAAGAAAGAAAAGAGTGCTGCAAATTCAATTGTGACATACCAGTGATTGTAAGATAAATCTCAATTTCTAGGATGTTAAAATGTGGTATGGGGGGTACATTTTACGATTTGAAGATAGTAGCTAGTATTTAAAACCATAAGACCAGATGACATCACCAAGGTGTGAAGACAGAGAGAGGACCAATAACTTAGCTCTAGGTCATTCTAGGGTTAAGATGTTTGGGATAAAAAAGGAACTGGCAAAAAAATTCTTAGGAACAATGTGAAGTAAGAGGACAGCTGAGAGAATGAGCACTCTGGAGACCAAGGGAACAAAGTGTTTCAAGAAGAGAACAGTGATCCAGCTGTGATAAATGCTGTCACTAGGTCAAGAAGGAAGAGGGCTGCAAAGTGGTTAGTGGAGCAGTGGGATCAAAACCTTAATTGGAATGAAATATAAGGTAGACTGAGAGGAGAGAAATTGGAGACAACAAATCTGGACTTTTTCAAGGCATTTTGCTGCAACAAGTACAAAGAAATTCCATGGTTGCTAGGGTCAAGGGAGAGCTTTTAAAAAGTGGGATAAATGGTAGCATATTTGTGTAGTGATAGGAATGATGCAGGAGAGAAGAAAAATTTGCGATGGAGAGAAAGAGTTGATGTGAATCTTTGAACAGATATCTTTGAATATACAGAGAGGTGGGATCATGTGTGCAAATAGAGAAACTGGCTTTAGACAGGAGTTTGAATCATCCAGAAGAATCAGGCGGAGGCAGAGTATGTGGTAGAGTTGCTGGCAGTGGTTACCTGTGGGAACCTGTGGAAGTTTTCTCAGTGTGTTCATGCTCATCAGCCAGCTTCCTGGTGTAGCCTCCTTCTCATGGGGCTTCCCTGTGGGGAGGGGATATGCTTGCCAGAGGACACAAGCATCTTATTTCATTATTTCATTCTCAGTGGTTTTTTTGTTTTTTTTTTTTTTTTTTTTGCTTCATTGTCTTGTGAGCCTCTTTACCAGGAGTCTTATCTTCCTGTAATAAGATCAAGTTTATTGGCCTGCAGGGTTGAAAATTATGGCTTTTTGACTGTGATCTGTTTGCCTAGGTAATGTCAGCTGATGAGGTATTTAGGTAGCCAGCCAGCTGACCTTTTTAGGGACACTCATTTCAACAGTACATGTGTGAACAGTTAAACAGTAGTATAAGATAGTATATCCTTGTTGATTACATGTTACAAATCATATGTGCTATAGAAGTTCTAGGAAAGGAGAAATCACTGAAGAGTGGGTTGGAAAGATGGCATGATGAGTAAGTAATGAGTTAGAGGGAGGAAAAGGGATGATGGTTCAGGCGGGAGAACCAGAGTTCACAAAGATACCAAGCAAAAATTCCCCAGGTAGGTTTGGTAAAAAGGAGCCAGCCAGCGTGTGTGGAGTCATTGATGTGCAATGTTTTCAGTGGTGAAGGTACTAGCGCTGTAAGAGAGTTGTTCATGGAAGAAGGAGACCTGATGGCAGGACTGGCAGCCGGTTTCCTTGCCCATCCTTGTCTGTGACTCTCCAAGAAGCACTGCTGGGAGCTGTCAGGAACATGTTTCAGAAGTAAAGGGACTTGGCAGACAGTTGCACTTCTCTAGGAGTGGTTTCTTTTAGGGTGTTTGTGATAGTCTGGAGTTGTTTAAGTTCACAGAAATTAACTGTTTAAAACTGTTATGCAATGATTTTATTTATATTATTTTGCAAACAGGTATTAGAAGATAATCTAAGTCATTCAGACTGGGCTAGTGAGCCTGAGCTGCTAAGCGATGTCAGCTGTCCTCCTTTTCTTGAAAGTGGAGCGGAGTCTCAGTCTGACATCCACACTCGAAAACCTTTCCCCATCAGCAAAGCATCACACTCAGGTAAAAATGAGAACCAAACCATTTAGAATTTTAAAACTGGTATGCTCCTTAAAAATAATTTAGTCTGATCTTCTGATAATCCAAGGAAAGGGAACTTGGTCTAGCAAGGAAGAATGACTTGCTGAATCATGTGGCTAAGACAAACTAAGTGAAATCTTAGTGCAGTTTTTTAAAAGACACATTGTCTCCATGTGAGTTTTTTGTGTGTGACTTTAAAGGGACATAAAGTTCAAGTGGATCCAGAAAGAAAGAGGCTACTTCAAAAAGATCATATATGTGTGGGCTCAGAGTTTTCAAAGAAAAGTTGTAGCAGAAGAATTTTATCATGTATCCGTATAGTAAAATAGACAAAGATGATATGTCCAATTTCTAAGCATAGACTAAAGCAAACTGAGTAAAATTTACCTTGCTACATGTGTGTTTTACTTTCTGATGTAATCCCATAACTTGAAATAAATAAGGAATATATTTAGGATTAAAATATTAGGCCTTCTTCCTAAAGAATTCATTCATTTTAGTTTTTCCTTCACTACATTTTTTTTTTTTAGATGATGGAAAACAGACCAGGCTTTCCAAACCCTCTGGTATTAGGAATTGTTTATTGCTATCTGGGTTAAGTGTAGTTATATAAAATTTTCAACAAACATTCCTTGCCCTTCAAAGATTTAGAATTCCTTTATCAGTTTATCCACATCTCTTGCTGGACTGCACAGTGACATGGATATCAAATAAGTTACTTTTTGTGTAAAGTGTTAGGATCATCGACTAATTGGGCAACAAGGAATTTCTAGAGTTTTCTTCACCTTTTCAGAGAGGCCTGAGCTCAAATAGTCCCAGAAGACCGTGACTGTAAAACCATCGAACCTTTTTTTAAAAAGATATTATCTCCCTTTAAAGCATCATGATTGTTTTATTTACCTGTGTTTAACGGTTTTGTTTGCTTATTTGTTTCTGGTTTTGTTTTTGGTTTCTGGAGACAGAGTCTGGTTCTGTCACCCAGGCTGGAGTGCAGTGGTGCAATTTTGACTCACTGCAACCTCCGCCTCCCAGTTTCACGCAATTCTCCTGCCTCAGCCTCCTGAGTAGCTGGCATTACAAGCGTGCGCCACAACACCTGGCTAATTTTTGTATTTTTAGTAGAGACGGGGATTTCACCATGTTGGTCAGGTTGGTCTCGAACTCCTGACCTCGTGATCGGCCCGCCTCGGCCTCCCAAAGTACTAGGATTACAGGCGTGAGCCACCACGCCTGGCCTGCTTATTTGTTTTTTTGTAAATGATGATCCCTAGAGCTTTCTTTTAGTTTTTACTTTAAAAGTAATCATTGACCGGGCGCGATGGCTCACACCTATAATCCCAGGACTGTGGGAGGCTGAGGTGAGCAGATCACTTGAGGTCAGGAGTTCAAGACCAGCCTGGCCAACATGGTGAAACCCCATCTCTACTAAAAATACAAAAATTAACTAGGCATGGTGGTGCACACCTGTAGTCCCAGCTTCTTGGGAGGCTGAGGCAGAATTGCTTGAACCGGGAGGCAGAGGTTTTAGTGAGCCAAGATTACACCACTGCACTCCAGTGTAGGCAACAGAGCAAGACTCCATCTCAAAAAAAAAAAAAAGTAATTATTAATGAAACTCAATATAAAACTGTAAAATGCAGATAGTCACAAAGAAAATAAAATCACCAGTTATTGTACCCGCCAGAAATTACCGCTACTGCTATTGTAGATCATTCCAGAAAGTTTTTCTTCATGTATGTATAGGGAATTTATTTGGTTTTTGTAAAAATTTGAATTATTTCTTCATTCTTTAAATTTTTAAATCAAAATTCTACAAATCATTCTGTAAATCTTGTTATAAAAAATTGCAAAAATAAAAAATTGGTTAAAGTTTTAGTCCACTAGTCATGGCCATGGACTACACCTATCGTAATCCCAGCATTTTGGGAGACCAAAGAGGAAGGATCAGTTGAACCCAGGAGTTCAAGACCAGCCTGGGCAACATAGTGAGACCTCCATCCCTCAAAAAACAAAAAAATTAGCTAGGCATGGTGGTGCACGCCTGTGGTCCCAGCTACTCAGGTAGCTGAGGTTGCAGGAGTGCTTGAGCCAGGAGGTCGAGGCTGCAGTGCGCCATGATCATGCCACTGCACTCTAGCCTGGCCAACAGAGCAAGACCCTGTCTTAAAAAAAATAATAAAATTTGTAGTCTACCTTCAGCTAATGTCCTATTCCCAAGAGGCATTCATTTTCAACTCTTTTGTAACTTCCATATTTCTGTATCACACGCTTCTAGTATTATATCTTGATTTCTGGTTTGGGACATTAGCTATTGGATTCCATTTTAGCTCTTTCACACATTCCTCACTGTCCCTTATCTTCACATAGTCACCAGTACATGAGTGTACATTTCTCATTCTCTCTCTTCCCAATATAATTACTATAATTTTTTACTAGATCAGTATTTACTGCTTAAATTATTATAAATGTATAAACATTATTTAGACTGAGCCATATAGCTTACTATGATTACTTTTTCTGTATATCCTGTGGTTTTCTTAGAGTTGATCATTGTTATTTACTTAGTTTTCTGTTTATCACTAATCTATAATTTATTACTAATGTATCTCCACACTTCCTCCCAGTTCTTATAATCTCTTAATACCTTACGTATTCTATCAATTTCATCTTCTGGAAGAAGTCTGCCTGGAGCCTCTGATCTGCTCTGATCTAGAGTGATGTCTCTAGACCTGTGGCCTGGCTGACTCAGGATCTCTCTGGTTTTTTTTGTTTTGTATTGTTTTTTTGAGATGGCATGTTACTCTGTTGCCCAGGCTGGAGTGCAGTGGTGTGATCTTGGCTCACTGCAAGCTCCGCCTCCCAGGTTCACACCATTCTCCTATCTCAGCCTCCTGAGTAGCTGGGACTACAGGCGCCCACCACCACGCCCAGCTAATTTTTTTTTGTATTTTTAGTAGAGACGGGGTTTCACTGTGCTAGTCAGGATGGTCTTGATCTCCGGACCTTGTGATACGCCCGCCTTGGTCTCCCCAAGGGCTGGGATTATAGGCATAAGCTACTGCCGCCCAGCCAGGATCTCTTTTTACCACCATCCTGAGATTCTATCATTTTTCTTTTGTTGGAATTTTTTATTTTCCACATCCCATTTCTTCTTTCCTGGATTACCCTCTCATTTTTGTGGAACATGTTTTATTTCACAGAGAATATTAATGATATTTCACCCCTGACTTGATTGTTTTGGCCTCTGCTTTTTGTATGAAAGGCTTTAAATGTTTAGTGAGCCTAAGATAGCTATTCTTACTCAACCATGGAGACTAAAAAGTTGATAGAAGGCTTTGTTTCCACGGTGAGACTTGTCAGCTCTGCTCTGTATGCAAGGTTATTTTCTCAGTGAACCCCAGCATTATCATCTTTAAATCTTTTCCCCCCGGAGCTGATCAGATTCCTCAGAGAAATCTCTTTGAGTCTTCTGTTTGGGAAATCTCTTTGAGTCTTCTGTTTGGCAGGTTTGTAATCCTGGCTGTCACTGTTCTGGGAACTGGTTAGGAAGAAGAAGGCCTGAGGGGAATGGAGGATTGTTTTAGTATTCAGTATGTAAACTTTCACTTAAGCCTCCTGTTTTCACTTCTCAACGGTGCATGTGACTGGCATGCCTTATTCTAGAGACCCTTCTCTCTGGAGAAGAAATTTCCAGTTTTTGGCCAAGACTAGGGAGGGGCATCACTTGGCTGCATGGGTTTGGGATAAGAATCTGGATGTCTGGCTGGGCGTGGTGGCTCACGCCTATAATCCCAGCACTTTGGGAGGCCGAGGCAGGTGAATCCCGAGGGCAGGAGATTGAGACCATCCTGGCCAACATGGTGAAACTCCGTCTCTACTAAAATACAAAAAATTATAGATGGGCATGGTGGCGCCTGCCTGTAGTCCCAGCTACTCAGGAGGCTGAGGCAGGAGAGTGGCTTGAACCCGGGAGTTGGAGGTTGTGGTGAGCTGAGATCACACCACTGCACTCCAGCCTGGGCAACAGAGCGAGACTCCGTCTAAAATAAAAGAGAATCTGGATGTCTAACTGCTTCTTAATTTGGATTTTAAGCAGTCATCCTGGTGTTAGGCCTGGCTTCATCCAGTTTCTAGGGGTATGAGCGTCTCCAATTCCCAAGCCTTCTTTAGGGGTTCCCAGTGAAAACTGCTTTGTGGCATTCCCTACTGCTGGCTTTGGATCTAGCTTTCTCAGGACTGCTAAGCCAGTAACACCTATCTGTATGCTTTCTGACTTCTAAAATTTTATTGTTCTTGTCACCTTTTTCATGTTGTCCTCAGGTTTACGTGTTTAAAAAATTCTCTTTATAGTTGTTGTAGCGGGAGAGAGCAGAGGCTAACATGTGTTTTCAATTTGCCACCTTAACTGGAAGTCCTTACATATTGTAAGGAATATACAAAAAATTGTGTATGTGTACGCACACACATTTGTTTTATGGAAATCTGTGACTTTATATATTCATTTAAAACTGATAGTCCTTAAACTTCAGCATCCATCGGAATCAACGGAAGAGCTTGTTAAACCTCAGTAATTTGCATTTCCATTAGGTTCTCAGGTGATACTAATACTGCTGGTCCAGGAGTATACTTTGAGAACCACTGATCTAAAAGTATTATGGACATTGTTTTGTAGTATACCATTGCATGGAATTATTTAATTAAACTTCTATTCCTGGCATTTAGGTTGTTCTAAATTTTTTTTGTATTATAAACAGTGCTGCGACAACATTTCTTGATCCTAAACCTTTGCATGGCTTTCAAATCATTTCACTGGGATGAAATCTTCAAAGTAGAACTGTTGGGCCTATTTGCACATCGGGTTTCTACTCTGTGCTAGAGACTGTTCTGGGCACTGGGACGTAATATGGTGGCAAGACCATCCGCCTTCAAGGTGTTTATATTGTAGTAGGAGAAGATAGGCAATAAATGACCAAATAAAGAACATTTTAGTTGCTGATAAGTGCCGTGAAGCAAGGACTTACAGAATTTGGAGAAAGAGGTTTTGAGGAGTGATTTTGAGAGTTTATGTTTAAGAAAGCGTAGATTCTCAGGGTCATTCCTAGTCCTGCTTCTTTATCTACCCTTACACCTTATGTGACTTCACCTAATACCGTAGCTTCAACCAACCACCAACTATATGCTGAAACTAAAATTCATATCTTTAGTCCCACCTCTCCTCCGAAGTATAGATTCTTACATTCAGCTGCTGACTCAACATTTCTATTGATGTATTTAATAAGATTCATACTTAACACATGTAATTCTTTTTTGTTTGTTTGTTTGTTTGTTGTTGAGAGGGAGTCTCGCTCTTTTGCCCAGGCTGGACTGCAGTGGTGCTATCTCACCTCACTGCAAGCTCCGTCTCTTGGGTTCACGCCGTTCCCCTGCCTCAGCCTCCCAAGTAGCTGGGACTACAGGCACCTGCCACCACGTCTGGCTAATTTTTTATATTTTTAGTAGAGATGGGGTTTCACCGTGTTAGCCAGGATGGTCTCGATCTTCTGACCTCGTGATCTGCCCACCTCGGCCTCCCAAAGTGCTGGGATTACAGGCATAAGCCACCGCGCCTGGCCAGCACATATAATTCTGACATTGTGATTTTACTCATCAAACCTGATTTTGTTTTTTTGGTTTTTTTTGCCATCTTCCTTGTCGTGGTAAATGACAGTGCATGCTACTTGTTGCTCAGGCCAACAACCTCAGAATCATACTTGTTTTCTCCTTTTCTCTCATGCTTCACATCCAATCTAGGAGCAAATCCTTTGACTCGGCCTTTAAAATCTGTCTAGAATCCAGCCATTTCTCACTAGCTGCAATGCTACCACTCCAGTCCAAGTACCAGTCATGGGTTTCCTGGAAGAGTGGTCTTGCGTTTCTACTCCTGTCCTCCCGTAACTCCATTCTTCCCACAGCAGCTAGAGTGACCTCATACATAAATGAGGTCCTGTTGCTTCCATGTTTTAAAACTCTCCCGAAATTTCTTATACTTAGAATAAAATCCAAAGTACAAATCATGACCTACAAAATTCTACATAATATAGTTCTTACTTTCTCTTCAGTATCATTCCTGCTACTTTCCCTCAGAAATTTCTGTTCTTATAAAGAAAAAGAGGTTTAATGGACTCACAGTTCCACATGGCTGGGGAAGCCACATAATCGTGGCAGATTTATGTAGAAACTGTATTTTGTAGCATCCCATGATGCTGTCACTACACTGGCCTTTTTCTGTTCCTGCAGTTCACTCCTGCTAATATACTTGGTATTCTTCCCAACATCCTTAAGACTTACTTTCTGAATTAATTCAGGTCTCTGCTCAAATGTCACCTTCTCAATGAGGTTTCTCTGACACCCATGTAAAATAGCTCATCTCTCTTCCCTTCCCATCACTTTATATGACTCTACATTGCTATTTTTCTATGTAGCATCACTATCTGTCAATTGTAATTTTTTTTTTTTTTTTTTTGAGTTAGGGTCTCTCTGTGTTGCCCAGGCTAGTCTCGCATTCTTGGGCTCAAGTGATCCTCCTGTCTCATCTTCCCTAGTAGCTGGGATTACAGGATTACAGGTGCACACCATGGCACTTGGCTCTGCCAGTTGTATTTCTTGTTTGTTTGTTTATTGGTCTGTCTCCCATTACTAGAATATAGGTTCTAAGAGAGATGAGACATGGTTCACTTGTCATTTCCTGAGACATAGAAGAGTGGCACAAAGAATGAGATGAATAAGCATCCGGTGAATGAATGAAGATACCATAATGTCATATGGTAGAGGATACCTGGAGGATGGGGATAGGAGGAGGTGCTGCTCTAGCTAAGTTTTGGAGTTTTGGAGAGGCCTTGTAGAGAAGGGGACATGGGAGTTGAGGCCAGAGTCAAAGCAGTTACACATCTGTTGCTGTGCATTGTAATTGCATATCCTTTCCTTTATTTAAAAAATTGCTTATGTTCACTATTAAAAAGATCAAACAGTTCAAATCCTTTATTTTTTATTTTTTTATTTTTTTTATTTTTGAGACGGGAGTCTCGCTCCGTTACCCAGGCTGGAGTGCAATGGCGCGATCTCGACTCACTGCAACCTCCACCTCCCGGATTCAAGCGGTTCTCCTGTCTCAGCCTCCTGAGTAGCTGGGATTATAGGCATCCACCACCACACCCGGCTAATTTTTTGTATTTTTAGTAGAGACAAGGTTTCATCATGTTGACCAGACTGGTTTCGAACTCCTGACCTCAAATGATCTGCCCACCTTGGCCTCCCAAAGTGCCAGGATTACAGGTGTGAGCCACTGTGCCTGACTCAAATCCCTTTTTAGAATCCTGTCCCATCCCACTCCCACAGATATCCCATGATTACATTTTTGGCTGATTTATTCTAGTCCTTCATTACTCTTTATTGCCAAATTGCTCTTTGTAAAGGTTTTATAACTAGTTTTAAGATATTTGTATTACTGTGTTTTCTTACTGCTATGAAGAAATACCCGAGACTGGGTCGTTTATACAGAAAAATAAGTTTAATGGACTCACAGTTCCACATGACTGGAGGTGCCTCACAATCATGGTAGAAGGTGAAGAAGGAACAAAGGCACATCTTACATGGTGGCAGGAAAGATGAGCGTGTGCAGGGGAACTACCCTTTATAAAACTATCAGATTTTGTGAGATTTATTCACTCTGATGAGAACAGTGTGGGAAAAACCCGCCCCCGTGATTCAGTTACTTCCCACCAGGTCCCTCCCATGATGTGGGAATTATGAGGACTACAGTTCAAGATGAGATTTGGTTGGGGACACAGCCAAACCATGTCAATATTTAAAATGTCTGTTTAGATTTTTTGTTGTTTTTCTTTTGTTATCCAAATAGTTACGTGGATTTTTAAAAATCTCCATTTATCTCCTAAGAAACGTCTGTCTGCTCTGGATCTCTGGATGGAGTTGAATACTCACAACGAAAGGAGAAAGGAATTGTGAAGATGACCGTGCCACAGACACTTGCCTTCTGTTACTTGTCCTTACTTTGGCAGAGAGAAGCAATAACACTTTCAGATCTTTTGAGGTTAGCTAGACCTCTTGTGTGATAATATTTTTGCTGGTTACTACATGAACTAAGTAGACAAACTTTGGATATTTTGATTTTTATAAGAAGGCCTAACTTGAGGAAGGAACTGGAAAGGTGGAGTGGCCTGAATTCTAATTTGGAAATGTAATCCCCCCCGGGCTAGTAATTCATCTTCTTGATTTTCTTATTTATGTAGTAGAAATTATAGTACTTATAACACATGGGCTATTGAAAAATTAAGTATCTAATCTTTTGAAGAGAAAAGTGACATTTAAGTACTTGAGTAATATTAGTCAATATTTTTCATTTCTAAGAAAAGATAAACAGGTGATCTTTACATTAGCAAAATGGTTATTCATAGTTACACAAAACCATATGTTGGCATTAAGAGCTAAAATATAGGTGGTCTGTGTTTATAAGGAAAAGTTGAAGACAAAACTGTTGAAAGGATGTGTTATCCAGATAGTAAGCGTTTATATTTTCCAGGGTAATCTACAGAGTGTTTTGGTTAATGTAAGAATTTCTCATGTAATAGATGTGCCAAAATTGTTAATGTGCTGATTTTTTTCTCCTTGCTTTATATGTGTTCTGAATAGTAACATTTGGGTTTAATCAATGTGTAGAGTGCCTTTAAGAGCACAAATTATGAACCGAACTGCTGGGTTTGAATCCTGGCTCTGCCACTTATTTATTATATGACCTTGAGTAAGTCATTTAATTTCTCTCTGCTTTTGTTTCCTCATTGGTAAAATGGGGCTAATAATAATAACTACCTCATAGGGTTGTAACTACTTTCAATAATTAGTGCTACATGGAAAGCACTTAGAGCAGTGTCTGGTACATAATAAGAGCTCAATGCTAGTCATTATTGTTTTTGTTTTCATCATCATCACCATCATCATCATTATTGGCACAACCCCTTTGATTAAATATAATGCCTCCAGTAAATGATGATAGTGCCTTTGAATTTGGCCACATCAACCAAATAAAAATGCTTTCCTCAGGTCTGATTAACTCTGCAAGCAGATAGCCCATGATTCAGTGAATTTTACTATTAATTTAAAAACCTGGTCTTGCTTTGTATGCCCCCATTGGGTGATCTCATCTTTTCCCAAGGCTTTAATTACCACTATATGCTGATGACTCTCAAATTTATATCTCTAGCCCAGACTTGTCTACTGAGGGCCAGACCCGTAGATTCATATATACAGCTGCCTGCTGGACATGGCTACTTAGATGTCTTTATGGTATCTCAGAATCAGCATGACTAGAGGTTCATCATCTGTCTCCTTGATCCAGCTCCTTCTCCAGTGTTCTCTTTCTTAGTAAATGCCACACCCTGTTGCATCCTATCCAGAAGCCTAGGGATCATCCTTGACTCTTTCCCTTCTATGTACACTGTTGGTCTTTATGTCCACTCAATTATATGTCCAAAAACTCAAAAAACCATTCTTCTCTGCATTCCCTCTCTCTCTGTCCTCTCTACCCTCATTTGGATTGCTTAACAATCTGCCAGCTGAGCTCTGTGTCTGTAATCTTGTGTCATTTCTATCCATTTTCCTCCTGATAACCAGAAGGATCTTACAAAAACATAAATCTAATGATGTCATTAGAGCTGGATAAAGGGGCTAGCCATCCTACCCAGGACAATCTGTAAGGGGCTAACAGAACTCTCCTAGAAATCTAACAAGATGGAGAAAGTCATATTTACTTGGAATTCTTCTCAGGGAGAATATTATATGTGGTTGAAAGAATAGGGGTAAGATGCTACCCACCCGTCTTCTCTCCCTCCCTCTTTTCTCTTCTCTCTCTCTTTCCATCTCCTCCCTCACCAGGGGGAATTCTGAAATGCCTTCAAGGAGATTAAATCTAGTTAGCTTGAGGGCTTTTGTTTTGCCCTGTGGAATATACAAGTTTGGGAACAGAGCTTAGTTGCTTGGGGCAATAGGAGAAGAGACTGTCACCATATTCTTTCTTTGCTTTTCTCCCAGAAAGAGCTCTAAGTCATAAGGTCTCAAAATGTGGCCTTCTGACTTACAGCTTCAGTATCATCTGGGAACTGGTTAGAAATGTGAATTCTTAGACCTATCCTACACCTTCTGAATCAGAAACCCTGGGGTAGGACCTGGTAATCTCTGCTTTAAAATAAGCCCTTCAGAGGATTTTTTTTTAATTGTTTATTTTTATTTTTTTGTAGAGATGGGGTTTTGTGATGTTGCCCAAGTTGGTCTCGAACTTCTGGCCTCAAGCAAGCCTCCTACCTTGGCCTCCCAAAATGTTGGGATTGTGGCGTGAGCCACCATGCCTGGCCCAGGGGATTCTTATGGATGGTAAAGTTTAAGAACCACTGCCAAACTTTGAAAAAATATTTAAAGAACACTGGTTTTAAGGGAGTACGTTATTAGCCTGGCCAAAGTACCCACATACCTTAACACTGTGCATGTCACTCCTTTTTTAAGTACTCTAGCAGCATCCATAGTCCTTAGCATAAATTCATTACCCTGCAAATAGCCTGTAAAGGACCCTGCCTACCTAGCAATAATGGCATTAATAAATAAAAATAGCCAGCATTTATTCATTCTGTGAATTTGTGTTGAATATCTACTATATGCCGGTGGTGTTCTGGCATCTAGACCCTTGTGATACAGATGTGAATCATATAGGTCCAGTCCTTGCTCTCATGAATTTCAAGACCAGAGGAGGACACAGATAAACAAACACATAAGTATGGTTGGTGCAAAGATCATTGAGGTTAATGGCAAAAACCACAATTACTTTTGCATCAACCTGATAAGTAAGAAAAGGATCAGACAGGGAAAGGCTATTCAGGAAATTGAAATAGGATGGTATGATAGAAAATGACTAGATGGCTACTCTAGATTGGTTATTTGGGAAGGCCTCACCAAGAAGGTGGCATTTACTCTGCACCTTAAATGAAAATAGAGCCAGTGTGAATATCAAGAGTACGATAGACCTCACTTACCACAGAGGATACATTCCAAGACATTGGATGCCTGAGAATGTAGATAGCACGGAACCCTATATACACTGTGTTTTTTCCTGTGCATACATTCCTGTGATAAAGTTTAATTTTTAAGTTAGGCATAGTAAGAGATTAATAATAAAATAGAATAATTATTACGGTGTACTGGTACTCCTACTCTTGAGCTTTGAGTCTGTTATTAAGTAAAATATAAGGGTTACTTGAACACAAGCACTGCAACACTCTGACAGTAGATCTGAGAATGAGCCAACGAACTACGAGTAACTCATGGCTGGGTGGTGCCTACAGCTTGGCTGTGCTGAACAAAGAGAAGATTCGCGTCTCACACGGGTCAGAGAGAGATGGCGTGATATTTCTCATGCTCTTCAGAATGGCGTACAGTTTAACACTTATGAAACCATGCAGCACAAAAAAGAGGATGAGTGGGGACTGCTGTACTGGCATTCCAGGTAGAGGGAGGTTGCTTTTGCCAAGCCCTAAAGCAAGAGCTGTGTGATGAAGGAGCAGAGGAGAGCTAGTGTGACTGGAGTCAGAATTCTAAGGCAGAGTAGGAGGATGAGAGTGAACAGATCATCAGGGGCAGATATCTGTCTTTGTAAAACAAGTTAGGAATTTGGATTTTTAAAAATTGAGGTATCATTTATATATAATAAAATTCACTGTTTAACAATATACAGTTCAGGCCAGGCACGGTGGCTCACGCCTGTAATCCCAGCACTTTCGGAGGCCGAGGCGGGCGGATCACGAGGTCAGGAGATCGAGACCATCCTGGCAAATACGGTGAAACCCCATCTCTACTAAAAATACAAAAAAAAAATTAGCCGGGCGTGGTGGCGGCGCCTGTAGTCCCAGCTTCTCGGGAGGCTGAGGCAGGAGAATGGCGTGAACCCAGGAGGCGGAGCTTGCAGTGAGCGGATTGCGCCACTGCACTCCAGCCTGGGCAACAGAGCGAGACTCTGTCTCAAAAAAAAAAAAAAAATATATACACACACACACACACACACACACACACACACACATAATTCAGTGGTTTTGAATACGTTTTCAAAGTTTACAAAGCTGTGCAGTCTGCTGTTTTCAGGACACATCACTCCGGAAAGAAACCTCATACCCAGGTGGACTCCGGGTTTTAAGTGTGAGAGTAAGCCCCTGGAAGGTTGCAGCAGGAGAGATACAATCCGATTGATGTTTTTTAAAGATCATTCAGGCAGCTGTGGAAAATGAGTTCTAGGAAGGGAAGAGTGGAAGCATGGAGACCAGGTGGTCTTTTGCTATCCTCCAGGCAAGAGATGGTAACTTGGATTATGGCAGTGATAATGGTGACTGGGTTCAGGATCTGTTTTACAGGTAGACACGACTTAACTCTAATTCAGTGCTTTTTCAGTGATCTTAGATGAAGAATGAGTTTATTAAATTTCTAAGCCTTCATAGGTTGAAACTTGGGAAAATTACATAATTATAAGTAAGGACAGTGTTTCCAGGGGACAAGGCTAAAGTCTGTTCGTCAGGAGAGGCATATGAGATGCTTTTAGTCTATGCCAATTTTTCTATCAACTTCCTGGACTGATCTAGAGAACCAGTTGTTAACACCTAGGAAGGGAAATAGATTGTTCAGAACTTTGAGTAAGCAGCTTTTTTTTGTTTTGTTTTTGTTTTTGTTTTTGTTTGGGGGGGAGGGAAATAAATACTTTTCTAAAAGGAAATTCAAAGTTAAAAAGAAAAAAAACTTTGAATGAGGCTAAGAGTAGAGCTGTTTATAAATGGTGAAAAAAACTGTTAGAACTCCAGATGCCAAAGACCTGCTCTTTGCGGACATTTCTGCTTCCCCTAGGCAGGTCTCATTTCTTCTGCTCCTATGGATCTGACTGTTCCTCTGTTGTGCTGCTTGAGACAGTACCTCTGCTGACTCATGTGCAGGCTGTTTGTCCGACCTATTAGGGTGGGAGTGCGGAGGACCCTTCATCTCTTACTTCTCTCTGCAGACTCCTAACACTCCACACAGTCCTGGCATGTGTTATCACATAGTGAAGACTACATAAATAATGAGCACATTAACATAGTAGAATACTAGGTAGTTTAAAAAGTGACAGGTACACATTACATCTTGTATATAAAATGATATTAAACCAAAAATATAATTGCAAAATAATACAAATACTGATTACTGCACATAAATACTTTTATATAAACTGAATATACTAATAAAAACTTACCTGGGGAAGCTTTAACACCATTTTTATATAAATATTTAATTCTCAACTTTCAGTAGACTAAAAATTAAAGCACATTTTAAATTTGAAATTAAAGTTGAGGCTGGGACTGGTGGCTCACTTCTGTAATTCCAGCACTATGGGAGGCTTATCAGGCAGATCACCAACCTGGTGAAACCATGTCTCTACTAAAAATACAAAAATTAGCCAGGCATGGTGGTGGGTGCCTATAACTAATTCTAGCTAATGGAGAGGATGAGGCAGGAAAATCACTTGAACCCAGGAGGTGGAGGCTGCAGTGAGCTGAGATCATGCCACCGCATTCCAGCCTGGGCGACAGAGTGAGACTCCGTCTTAAAAAAAAAAAAAAGTTGAGTCAGTTTTATCCTTTAAGTGCTACAAAGCTGAAAGCCAAATGTCAGCCCAGCTCTAGCAACATTGCCTCAAGGCAATGCAGTTTGTATACTTATTCCTGTCTTTAGCTCACTTTCCTTAATTTTCTTATTTTAAATATCTTGTATATAGATATATGTATATATTTGACATGGTCGCAAGACCCCCATTTCTCATTCTCAGTTCTCCTTGTTTTTCTCCTTAACATTTCACTCTACCTAACATACTATAGATTTTACTTATCTGTTTTGTATCTTTCTTTTCTCACTAGAATGTAAACTCCATAAGAACAAGAATGTTTTTCTGTTTTGTTCACTGTCATTTCTCTGCAGTCTAGAATAGTACTGGATATATAGTATTCAATAAATTGTTAAATTAATGAATTGTAAATAAATATATTTGTGTATTTATGTATATGTGTTATTTTCTTCAAACTCAATAATCGACTCAAAATATTTGATCCACTGTGTACCAGGCATTGGGGTGGAGTGGTGAGCAAACAGGCAAGGTCCCTACCCTTAATGGTTCTTTCAGCAACAAACATCTAACATGCACTATTGTAGGTATTGGAGACAGAAGGGTAGACAAGGGAGGTAGGCTTTCACAGAAAATGGGGTAAACCTCCTTGCAGGAGTGATTTATGAGTAGGAACCTATCATGTGAGGGGAGCTAGGGATACACGGAATGCCATGTTGGAAAGCCTGGTGGTGAACTAACAAGTAGGATACACACTTCTTGCACACTTTTTTTATTTTGAGACTGAGTCTCGCTCTGTCGCCCAGGCTGGAGTGCAGTAGTGTTATCTTAGCTCACTGCAACCTCCGCCTCCCGGTTTCAAGCGATTCTTCTGCCTCAGCCTCCGGAGTAGCTGGGACTACAGGCATACGCCACCGCACCTAGCTAATTTTTGTATTTTTAATAGAGACGAGGTTTCACCATATTGGCCAGACTGGTCTTGAACTCCTGACTTTGTGATCCACCCGCCTTGGCCTCCCAAAGTGCTGGGATTACAGGCATGAGCCACTGCGCCTGGCCGGACACTTTTTTTTTTTTTTATTTTTTTTTTTTTTTTTTTGAGACAGAGTCTCGCTCTATCACCCAGGCTGGAGTGCAGTGGCCCGATCTCAGCTCACTGCAAACTCCGCCTCCCAGGTTTAAGCCATTCTCCTGCCTCAGCCTCCCGAGTAGCTGGGACTACAGACGCCCGCCACCTCGCCCGGCTAATTTTTTGTATTTTTTAGTAGAGACGGGGTTTCACTGGGTTAGCCAGGATGGTCTCGATCTCCTGACGTCATGATCCGCCCGTCTTGGCCTCCCAAAGTGCTGAGATTACAGGCCTGAGCCACCGCGCCCGGCCCTTTTTAAAAAATTTTTAACACAGGATCTCACTCTTGCCCAGGCTGGAGTGCGGTGGTGTGATCATGGCTCACTGTAGCCTCAAACTCCAGGGCTCAAGCAGTCTTACTGCTGCCCCTCCCAAATAGCTGGGGGTAGAAGCATGTGCCACTGTGCCCAGTCCTTCTTAGACATATTTATTTAGTCAGGAACTTAAGAGAATCATTCAGTAATTGGCTGAATAGGCCAACATATGGGTAAAGAGAATAATAGATATGATCAGATTTGTTATCCTTAAAAACGTGGGAAATAGAATATGCTTAACTAATTCTTACCATGTCTGTGAATTTTAAGAGATTTTCTTAAAGTATTTACTTTGCTATATCGGTATGTAGCTCTCGTTAAACCTTTTTCTTTTTAAAAATACAGATTTGTTGAAGAAGACCATATTCCTTACATAAATGCTTTTCAGCATTTTCCAGAACAGATGAAATTGTATGGGCGTGACAGAGGAATCTTTGGTATAGAGGTAAGTTATTTCCTTTTTGACTTTCTAGTCTGTGATAAAGACAAAAGAGTGATATGATAATTTCTATTTCTTGCTTGACTTGTTATTTGTTGTTTTGTGTTCTATCCAAATATGGAACATAAGTCATAATTTAATGAAGAGTAGAATTTTTATTTTTTATTTTCCTTATGTGGATTCCTCTAATCCTTTAGGTTATCCTCAAAATATAGCTGTAATGTGATGTGTGTGCATGGCAGATAGGTATATTGTTGAGACTAAACTTGAGAACTTTTATCTAGAGACCTTCAGGTAATTTCAATTTTTTTTTTAAATAAAAGATGTGTTTTGTTGTTATTTGCACACTATATTGCTGTGGAGGAAAGAGAAGAAAGTTATTGTCATGTTTCTAAAGGTACTATTTTAAGTTCTTCACTTACGTTAGTTTATCTTTTTCTAGATCTGTTTTCAGATGTCTCCAATGGAAGGGTTTCTGTCCTTTGATTATGAGTTTGTGTCACTATTGGTGATACTCAAAGGTTATTTCCCCTTGGTTCTCATCAGAAGTTTTTTTTGGTGTACTAAATGTTAAATATTTTCCTCCATTCACCTATTTAAGGAATTATTTTCATAGAACTTCATGAGCCTGACATTGTTGGCGGTGTAAGAGTCATTTGTTGAGTGCTGTTTAATAGTGGCCTGACTTTGATGAAAGATAACCTCTATTCAGATATCCTTTGATGTTCAACTTAATGTTGAGGTTTATCCCTTTCCAGCCTGTCAGTGTTAATATAATGCAGACATAAAGTGAAATTGCAAATTTTATGGAAGTTTCAGCATTTCATGTTATCTTTGAAATTAATGCAGGAGAATTGCTAGCAAATCGGTTGACAAACACAGAGCTGACAGAATTAGATAATTTAAAATTGAAAAAGAGAAAATCAATAATGAGGATGGCACAATAGTGCTTCCAAAGGGAAAATGTGAATGTCAAAGGATTACGAATACTCCCTGGCAGAGCTGACAGAGCCCCTGAATATTTTGTAAAATACTTCTCTTTGTAGTTATGCTATAATATCAAAGGCAATAGGAAGGATGTCATATTGTTGCAGGATCTTTGGGGTGCCGTTTTTCTGGCTGGAAACCTTTGTGGCCAGTGGCATCTTTGCCTGAGTTTTGCACTAGGCTTATTTCACCCACTCCACTTGGCAGGCTGTGCTTGGCTCACGCTGCTGGCCTGGGTCTCTTGCCAGCCAAGGGCAAGTCAGGCATGGAATGGTGATGGGTGTGTACGCAAGCATGGGGTCTGGCCACTGCACACAGTCAGATATGCCACCTGCTGCAGCAGGGCAGACAGCTCCAGGTGCCAGCATGATTGCCAGCTCTCTGCAAGGCTGCGGCCGGACCAGTCACGCTGCAAGCAGTTTCCACAGCTGGCACTAGGGAACATGGTGGTGCCTGGGAGCTTGGAGATGCCAGGAGCCACAGGGCCTCAAAGAGGGAGTCACAGCCCTGGCTCGGGGA